GCTCCTGCCGCGGGGGTGTTTGTGGAGGAGTCGCCCAGCTCTCCTTGGAGGGAGCTGGGGCCCAAGGAGCTGCATGGCTCCAGGGGCTCAGGGAGATGCGACCGCTTGGGGCCGTGGCGAGATGTTTACAGCTCCAGTTCCGGTTCACTTTTCCTGCTGTGTTTTGTTGCTCAGGGCAATTGTCGGGCTCTTTCGCAGTGGAAGGAGGAAGAGGTTTTGTTTTAAGCCCTGTACGGGAGCCTGAGATTAATCTGCGAGTGGCTCAGGCCTCTGATGCTGTCTGGGGCAGCTCTCCTGGCACGGCACAGGCGTGACGATAGCGTGGTGGCGAGGCCAGAGCGTGTTTAGACAACCACATGCCGTGGGCAGGTGGCCCTGGGTACAGGAGCTCAACGCAGCCAGCCTTGTGGCAAAACCCATCTTGCTGTACGGCCCAGCCTGGGACTCTGGAGTTGCAGGTTTGCAGCCCAGCACCAGCAAGCTAAGGTGTTTGGCTGCTCTCGGACCATGCTGGAAGGAGGATGTATCACCTGGCCCTGGTTTAGGCCGTCACTTTTTGGGGGGAACATGGGATGTGCAGCTCTAGGCTTGCTGGGAGCTGCTACCACTGCATGCTGGAGGCTGCTGAGATGCTGAGGAGCAGGAGCGTGGCTCCAGAGACCAGGGAGGACTGAGCTCCGTGACATGTTGTCTTGCCACACATCCTATTGTGGCATTGGCTCTCTGTCTCTAGTAAGGGCATACTTTGGGCTCTTTTATTCCCTCCTTGCAGTGTCGCACCTGAGAGGCTCCCAGGCCCGTGGCCTTTGGACTCCTGGTCACGTGGAGGAATTTCCCATCTTGTTGCTTGGGATGCTTGTGGGAATCCTGCAGGGACCTGGGAGGGAGCGGAGGGAAACTGAGGAGCTCTTTGTAGATGAGCTCTTTGTAGACATTTTGTTAAGAAACTTCTTCCAACTGTGGCAACAAGCCTGCAGGAACCCCTGGAAAGTAGCCACTGAGCGCCCAGTTGTGCCAGTGCCAGCTGACCACCCCCTTGCTGCGAGCCTGGGCGCCTGTAGCCGTGCAGGGCCTTGCTGGCCTTGTGGGGCTGCCACCTGCACCCCTTTTCCACCTTGGATGCAGAAAATCTGGCTGTGATATCGCCACCTTCGGCAAGGCTGCCGGAGAGCATCTGCGTGCGCTGCGGTGGCGGAGGGGACGGCGGCTGCAGCAGCCCAGCGCCGCAGTGGGGCCCTTGCCTGGGCATCTGTGCAGGCGCTGGTGGCTCTGCCAGCACCGAGCTGATGCTAACGGAGGAGGCCAGGCTGCCTTCTGCTCTGCTTGGCTCTGGCCCAAGTTTTGGGACAAAGGCTGGAGCGTTTCCACTGCTGGAAGCCTTGTGCTGGTGCCTGGCAGCGCAGCCGGCTTGGAAAGCGGTCGTCTCCCAGCACCTGCTCTGTGGAGCTGCTCTGATACAGGCAGCATGGTGAAGCCTACTGGGTGCTTTGTTTAAAAAAGAACGCAAAAGGGAAAGCAGGGGGCAGCAGCCTGTGGTTTTCCAGGCCCTCGTTGCTGGTGTGTTTTGCTGTGGGTGCCTTTGTGCTCTGGGCGCGATCCTGGGCTCGTGCCGGTGGGCCACGTTGCTTTTGCTCCTGGGCTGCAGGACCGGCTTGGACTGGGAAGGGTCTGCCTTGCTGGAAGGAGCCTGCAGCAGCAGCAACGTCAGAAGTATTCGTCCTCCTGTCCTTGGGAGGTCCCTGCTGCCACTTCTGACTGCTCCCAGCAGAACTTGGGGTGAGATGGTGATATTTTCAGGGGACTTCATGTGGCCCCTGATGCCCTGGCAAAGGCAGGGAGTACCTCAATCCTTCTCCCATCTATGCTGCTCTTCTTCCAGCTGGCTGTCCTGGAGGACTATGCAGATCCCTTTGATGCTACACAAGTGGCTGGTAGCCAGACAGGACTGGAGAAGGTGATGGAGAATGATGGATATATGGAGCCATATGAAGCCCAGAAGATGATGGCTGGTAAGATTAAAAGCTTTCTGCAAAGGCCAATGCACTCTTAATTACCACTGTTCTGTGAACTTGGTGGCCAGTACGCTGTCTTCATCCTAGCCTATGACACAAGTCCCTAAGAGCTGGCTGGCAAATTTGGGCGATTGCTCCAGTGGTGTACAGTCACTTAGGAGCCAAATTTTCTCAGCGTGACCCTTGTGTGAGGAGCTTGCCATAGCCAGGGCGCTTCTGAAGGGTAACTGAGCAGTAAAGGCACCTCTGTGTTTTTGCCTGTCACTCTTAGCTTGGCTCTGTGCTGTGACACTGCCTCCGGGATCACAGTACCTGCTTGCCAACTCTGGGGGCAGCAGAATGGCCTGGCAAGGCTGAGCCATGAGAGACCTGCCTTTCAGTACTGACATTTGATGCGTCTTGCGTAATACAAGATGGATGTGGGAGCTATTTAATTCGGTTATGACTGGTCCTGAACGTGCCGTTGTCTGTCTGCTGTAGCAGCGGGGTCCCCAGTGATCTTGTTTACGGCTTGCAAGCAGGAGAGGTGAGAGCGTGTGCTCCCAAAGGCACTGCTCTCCCTGCTGCAGCGCACGCAGCGCTGTTATGCCAGCTTGCGCACTCCAGGCTCTGGCTCTGCTTTGCAATCTTGTGGTTTTCCTGGAGCAAATGGTTTTGGAAAGCTCCAACGGCTTCTGGAGGACACCGTTGTTTTTTTGGAAAAATCAGCAAGCAGCAAAGAGGCTGCTTGTGTCTGAGAGGAGACATGTGTTCCTGTTTTACTTGAGGGAAGGGCATTTTATTCAAACTTCCTTTTTTCCAGACTAGCTGTGCTAGATGTTCAGGGAATAAACCCATCTTTGTTGCTCCTACGGACTCTGTAGCTGAGATGATCTGTCCCCGTGGACCCTGCTTTTCAGGGCTACCTCGGACTGGGGATGTTGTGCCACAGGGGAAAAAGGGATCCTGGTACTGCGGGAAGGCAGCAAGGCTGGCTCTATGCTTTTCTGCCTAACAGATGAATTTGGCTCCCAGGAGACATGCCCACTTTGCTTAAGGTTGTCAGGGAAGGGCTGTGGGGCATCTAGTGTCGGTGTCCATCCAAGAGGCCTGCCGGGAGTGGCACCCAACACAGTGCCATGGCTTAGCTCCCTCTGTGTCCTCTAATGAAGTCCTCCAAGGTGTGCCATTTCCTGATACTGTTCCTCTGATGAACTTGGAGCCTTTGGCAGCTGTACCCACCTCCACTCTACAGCATGGGCAGAACTGCAGGGTGAACCCAGGTATACTGGTCACCTTTTTCCTGTGGTACTTCCATCTGGCGACACCTGGGCATTCGGGGGACAGGTCTGCATTCCCATGATGATGGCATTTCCACCACCATGGTGTCTCTGGCATCTCAGTACCTCCTCTCTGCAGAGCAGCTGGAGGACTCCCTTGCGCTGTTGGTCTTGAGCCCAGATTGGGCTGAGCCAGGCGGGGAGCCCTCATCTGGTGCTTGCTAGCAGTGTGAGTCTGACTCCCACAGAAGGAAATATCGCTGCTGTTTGCTCCCAACCAGCTCTGCTGCTTCTGGCAGGTGCTTGCTGGAGGTTTGGGGTCTGCCCTTTGCTGATGTGCCCTGCCCCATGTTGCCCTCAGCTGAAAGCAGGCCCTTTCACCCAGCTTTGGGGACTGTGGCCAGGCTGTATTGGGCAAAAAGCTGATGGTCTTCTCTTTCTTCTTCTGCTAGAGATCCGCCAGAAGGGCTTCAGGGAGGCTCCGGCCCGGCCGCTGCACCTCTATGATACTCCCTATGAGCCTGTGCCTGGAGGGCTGGACATGGACGGCGACCGCCCAGCTTGCCCCAGGCCCAGGGAGTCCCGGCTGCCTGAGGATGATGAGCGGCCGCCTGAGGAGTATGACCAGCCCTGGGAGTGGAAGAAGGAGCGTATCTCTAAAGCTTTTGCAGGTGAGCAGGGTGGAGGCAACCTGTGGTTTGGGAAGCGTAGCTTAAGCACCTTGACAGGCTCTTCCTTGCTACTGTTGCGCAGTGTTTTGCAGATGGGGAAGTTGGTTCCTTGGGTTCCCTTTGTTTTTGTGGGATGGGTAGTGGCAGCCTGTGCATTTCCATGGCTTGTGGGAATGCTCTTTCAGTTGCAGAGGCTGTTTGTCTTCAGAGGGCTCATGGAGGCTGGCTGGGAGCACTGGGGCGCCCAATTGGGGTACCAGCCAGCCTGGCTGGGCTGGTGGGTGGGGGAAAGCGGGACTGGTGGCTGGAGCGGCCTTGGCAGCCTGTCTGCTACCCATTGTCTCCAACTCTGCTCTAATTGCCTCTTCTCCTCTCTAAATGATCAGAGCCTCCAGTGCGAGTTGCCCCGGCTCCATCACAAATTGCCGGGGAGAGGCTGAACCCTGGGCTTAGACATATTCCTTCTCTTCCTTCTTTTGCGGGTCTGCCATTGCATGGGCAAGAGCTGGTCACTCGCCTGGGAGCCTTTGGCCAGGAGAGCATCCAACCCCCTGACCTATTTATCTGTGCTGCGGGATCGATTGCGTTTGTGTTTGTTAATGAGGAAATCCATGCTGTGCATTAGTGCTGGCTCCTGTGCCAGCGCTGGCTAATTGCCACACTTTTATCTAGGGTACAATTTAATTGCAGCAGTATGTCTGCACTGCTGCCAGCGTGCGCGAGGCACTCGAGCTGGCAGTGGCTGGTGCTGTGCAGGGATGCAGACAGAGAAGCATTGGTGTTTGGGCTCGTAGCTGGGGGAGTGATTCAGCTTCCAGGCTTGGGCTCTGCAAGCTGGAGATGTGTGTGTTGGACTATGTGTTGTGGCATCTGGATGTGCCTCTCTTGGCACCTGAGACTCCTGGGTTCTAGCATGGAGGGGTGCAAAACCGGGTGTCCACAGCACGCTGTGTTGAGGATTTGGCCTGCCAGGCTCCATGATGTGGAAATGCAGTATGCTGTGTTTATGCTCAGGTGCGTCTGTGCTATGGATTTGGGCTGATTAACTGCCTCGCTTGATGTCCCTAGGTGAGGGAGATGAGTTCACTGGCCCAACTCACGCATGGATGCAAGTGGGCCCTCTCCAGGGCCCTTTAGTTTTGCTCTGAGTCCCAGGGGAATTTGTGTGGCATGAAGCAGGATGCTGTGCCCTGGTGCATGTTAGGACCTGCTGACTGTTTTCTCCCAGAGCTGGAGCAGGTCCTGCTATTGCTTGCAGGGCATTTATCCTCTCTTATGATGCTGGAATCTCTCTGTGGCCCACTGCCCCCTTGCTATGCCTGCAAGATCCCGTGCTGATGGGCATGTGGAACTGGTATGAAGCTAATCCACCATGAGCAGAGTCTGTGCCCCCTTCCCTGATGCTGCTCATCTCCACTGCAGCCTTCTCATCACAGTTGGTGGATTGTCTGCCTGTGACCTGGCTGTCCCCAGGAGCTTTGCAAGCACTTTGGGGCCCAGTGCTCAATGCCCCCATCCCATCCTCTGGCTGTGGAGCAGGACCTAGCCAGCTGAGCGCATCCCCGGGGAGCAACCTACTGGCATATGGCAGGGGAACTTGGACTGAACTGGGCGACTGGCAAATGCCCGGGGCAAGACTGCTGAGGAGATTTAAATGCATGGACAGGAGAGACTGTGATGGGACTTTCAGCCTAGGTCTATTGGATGGACTTGCACATAGGATGGGGGAGATTTCAGGCTCTCTCCCAGCCCCAGAGACTGCGCTGAGGCTGGCTGGGAAAGCTATTGCCCTGACGGAGGAGCAGGAACTTACCCTGCATCAGACCTATTCCTGCTTGGTGCTGAGGAAGGGATGAAGTGGCAGAGCTGTTTGAGCACCATCAGCTCCAAATATTTCCTCCTTGATGATTTCCAAGGCCTGAGGAAACCACAAGCCCTTTGCGTGGCAGGGTAATGCCTTGAGGCCAGCCCAGTCTGGTGTTTGCTCCTGTGGCCTTCCCAGGACCTAGCTCTGCTTATGGTGGCCCGCTGTGATGATGCAGGTCCCTTTGGCCGCGTGCCTTGCTGTCCACCCCGGCGAGCCTCAGCCGGCATCGAGCTGCATGCACCCAGGTTCCTGGGAGTTTAGTCCTTAGGTCTTTCCTCGCTATGACTGCTGTCCTTCTCTGTAGACTTCGTGTTGCTGACATTTATTTCTAAGCCCTTTCTCTCTTTCTCTCTTTCTCTTTCTCTCTCTCTTTCTCTCTCTTTTTCTTTCTCTCTCTTTCCCACCCCCCCCTGTTATCTAGTTGAAATCAAGGTCATTAAAGACCTGCCATGGCCACCGCCAGTGGGACAGCTCGACAGTGGTGAAAGCCCCCCGGATGGCGAGGCCGGTGCCTCCGTCCCTCCACAGCATGGCCAGCCGAACTACGAAGACACCAACGGTGGGTCTTGCGCGACCAGTGGGGTGTTTGGGAGGCTGGAGCCGATGCTTAATGGGACCCTGACTTGCTGGCCCCACTGCCAACCCAGCCCCGGGATGCCACAACATCTCGGAGCTTGCTGACCGTGCTACGTGGTGAAAACACTCGCCAGCCCCACGGTCCTCTGGTCACGTCTCGGGGCCCAGGTGCTTCTACGACTTTACTAGCTATTTTGGTTTCTTGCCTCTTCCTCCTCTTCTCAACATGAAAGAGGTACAAGGACAGCCTTGTGGCTCTCACAGAGTCCATTAAGCTCATCAGTCTGTCTCTGACAGCATCTACCATCAAATACTTAGAAAGGAAAGCAAGACTAGGACAAGCGTATACTGATACTTCCCGCACAAATTCTCCTTGTGTCCAGCAAGCTGCAGCTCAGAAACCTGAACTAGGCTTGGCTTTGTATTTGAAAATCCATAGCAGATTGATCTTCCGTGAGTTTTTCCAAATACTTTTTGAATTCATCTAAGCGCTTGGTGTCCAAAACATCCTAGAGTGGAGGTCCCCAGTACTCCCTCTTGGCTTTTGAACTGGTCCCCGATAACTTCATTTGTTGCTCCGCTGCCTCTTGCTGTACAGGACCCCATCTGCTGTGTCTGTGCCGTGCAGAGCTCTACAGATGTCTGCCCTCCTTCTCCTTCCCCCAGCTCCTCCTGGCCTGTTCACTTGTCCTTTGCAGGGCATGAGAGACATTTGTCCTTTTCTCTTCAATGTCTCCTCTGGTTATGCGATACCTCTTTGCACACAGTAGTAAAGATGCACCAGGGATTTATTTAGTGACAGAATTATTATCTTCTGTTTTGTTCTCTGCTTTGCCCCCAAATTCCTAACATTTGGTGATTTTTATTTTTATTTTTGGCAACCACTGAGCATTTAGCTGATGTTTCTTGGGACTCTGAACACCTAGGTCTATTTCAGAGGTGGTAACAGCTAAATCAGATCCCACCCCTGGAGTTAGGACTGTTTTTTTTCCCCATGTGCATCACTTTGTTTAGCACTGTTAAATTTCATCTACTATTTTATTGCCTAGCTGTTCAATTGCAGGAGATCCTTCTGAACCCTTGGTGGCTAGCTCTCACTTCTGCTATCCTGAACAGCTAAATCTCACAGGCACGCTTTGTCATCTCAGATTTGCCATGTTTTAAAGTCTTTTTGTGTGTGTTGAGCGGAAGAGACCCTGTGTAAATCCCTCTTGGACTCTGCGGGTTAATCTCTCTTATAAAAGGCAATGATTGTTTCTTCTCTTTTACCCGATTATTAATTTTTTTTTTAAGGACCACGCTCTCATGCCATGGTGGATTAGATTTTTAAAGAGCTTTAGGTGAGGGTTTTTGTCAAAATCCACCCATGCTGTATTGGTTGGATTGGCCTTTTTCACGTGCTGCCGCTCTTTCGGAGAGCTCAGATGGATCTGAGAGACGTGACTTCTCTTTACAAAACGGTGGCGGTACCCTAGTGTACCGTGTCTGTCCGTGTGTCACTAATTCCGTTCCTGACAGACACTGAAGTGTGCCAGGTGCAGATGTCTGATTTTCTTATCTGTAATTACCCAGATCCCTGCAGAGCTTTGTAAAAATCGGTAAGGCTTTTGCTACCTCCCGGGTGGTTTTGAGCAAGAGATTGCACGTGACTGCTGGTGTTCATTGCGAATTGTATGGGAACTCCAGAGTGAAGTGGCTGATCTGCCTGGGCCACTTTGTGGTATTGTCTCAAATCCTCTTTTAGGGATGCTTCGGTCTGAGATCAGTCCTCAAGGTGTCTGAAAAAGAAAAGTCTTGGCAGGTGGAAAATTGCATAAAGAAAATTTAATTTCTTTGCTGCATGGCCTCCTCTCTTCCCTCCTCATTTCTTATTGCTGTAGTCACTCTTTTTGCTCCTGATGAACACATCATTTTGTCATTTTTCGTGGTTTTAGGAACACAGTCTCTCTCGCCTTTTTTTTTTTTTTTGTCTTACTTTGTTGTGTTAAGTTTATTTTGCCAGAGTTTTGTGTTATTTTCTGTTTTCCTTGTCTGGGTGCGACTTGAACTTCTTGAAGGATGTCGTCTTATTCCACAGAGCTTCTTTTAATAGACTGTTTAATCATGTGCTATTCCTCTGTCTGTCTCTGACAGGTGCTATGCATTTGTTCTGAATATCTAATATGATGACTTTAAGTCATCACTGCTGCCAGCAAACACTTCAGTGTTTTGATTGTCTTTTTTTTTTTTTTTTTAATGATTGTTCCAATTTTTTAGGTGATGAGTTGAAACTGAAGTTTTGTTGTTGAGAGTGCAAAAGTGAGCCTGGTGGGTTAAAAGCAAGCCTGCTGTAGAGGCATCGCTGGTCTAGATTTAATGCTGGGCACTTCATCCCCGAGCTCCTCCTTGCAGTTTTTAAGCCATGCTGAGCTGCAAAGGATTTTGAATGGGTTTTCGTCTGGCTCCCTTCCTCTCTTCTCAGCCCGAAGGCAGGACGGGGTGGCTGGTGACCTGCTCCTGGGTAGAAGTGCCTGTGAGACCTTGCCTTTTTTGCATTCCTCGTTTGCAAAGCTTGTCTGCTGAGGGTGCAGATTAGATTTCCCTCAAATAGCCCCCTTAGTGGATGCCTCGCACCCTGCTAAATGGAAATGTCCATCTCCTCCCCCTTTGATGACCAATATCTGTCTTTTTGCATCTGCCCCACAGCAGCGGGGCCTTGGTGTCGCTCACGTTTGCTGCCTTTGCCCACGAGGCCCGGGGAGCAGTGCAAGCCCACGAGGCCCGGGGAGCAGTGCAAGCCCACGAGGCCCGGGAGCAGTGCAAGCCTTTGCCCCTGCCTTGCACCCCGTCCGCATGGAGGGCCAGCAGCAGGTGGAAGGGCAGAGCCTGGGCTAGCCCAAGCCCTTGTGCTCCCAATTGCCCCAAGCCCGAGAGAGCAGGTCCTGTGGGGGAGGGTGAGGGCTGCATGCTGGCAAAATCATCCCAAACGATGGGACGAGGGAGGATGGGGGGGGGGGGAGACGATCACACCA